TAAGAATGTCATTTTAATTTTAATGGCTTTGTTTTACAAATCAAAGAACAAGAGAAGAGGGAGGAAGCATAGGAATAAGAATCAGAGAAGATAACTTGACCTTCCAAGAAGAGAATAAAACCTCTGGCGGTGATAGCAGCGGACTTCGAATCAGCGGCGGCGGACTCCAATCAGCGGCGGCGGACTTTGAATCAACGGCGGCGGCGGACTTCGAATCAGTGGCGGCGGGCTATGACTGGGCTTCTTGGTTTGGTTGCTACTGTGCAAAAGGGAAGGAGGAGGATCTGTGCAGGGAAGGAGGAGAAGAAGATGCGTTGGGGACTTGGAGAGAGAAGAAGATGCGCATGGTGAGAAAGAGATGAGTGTATCCGGCTTAGGGAAAAAGAAATAAATAAGGGTAAATGAGTAATTCAGTCCTATTTGGGGGGGGGGAACTAGATAATCCCATTTAGGAATTTCAGGAATAATTTTTAGTCCCATTTAGGACAATAAGTCAATTTACAATTACCTAAATTATGTAGTATCCCATGAGGAAACGGGAGAAAACTAGGGGGAGAAAACGGGAAAGAAAGAAGAAACGAATGGGTTGCAGAGGGAAGAAGAAGAAGAAGAAATGCAGCGGCAAAGGAGGAAAGCAAGAAAGAAAAAATGAAAGTACAGGAAAAAGAAAAAAAAAAGGAAAAAGAAAATGAAACTTTTTGCCACGTCATACCCAGATACTACGTATGTGGTTTTACCAACAACTCAGAGGTTACCAGACAACAAAAACAATTTGCCACATTTTTAATAGTTTATGGGTTTAATTGGGTGATTATTGTGTTGATGGGTTTAATTGACATTTTCTTAAGAGTAGAGAGGCCTACTTGACACTTTTCCCGCTTGAAAACTAGTCAGAGACAAAAGAGATGAAAAAGAAAGCTTGTGGAGAAGAAGACAAGAGGTGTATGTGTTGAGATTGGAAAATTCTTCTTTTCAATATCAAGAACAGAATTACAATAGGAGGAGCAAACTCTCACACTCAACTATTACAAAAAAATCAATCATCACCAAAACACTTCTACTCTAAGTGTATTTCACTCTTCACACACTTTTCTCACTTTCTAAAACTGATACTAATGAACAACATGGAGCACTCTATTTATAGGACTAGTTTGGAGACAAGAGGAAGTTGCATCCGAGCTTCCATCCACATGGCTAGAGAGCTTTCTAGCTATGTTGGAGACCTCCTTCCATGAAGGTGTGAGATGCCTCTTGACAACTTCCAAGAAAGAAGGTGGAAACTCCCTACAAATCTCCCCCTCCACCTTTTTCTTTGTTTCTCTCATTCCTGCGATGCCCGCTGGCTCCCCCTCGCTGACAAGTATCCATTCGGATGTGGAATACTTTCTCTGTGGAACTATGCCTCACATAAAACGTCGAACATGAATACCTTCAGCTTCGTCTTCAGATGAAGGCTCCCCCTGCTAAGGAATATCATCACTGTGAGCATTATCATCACCTACTGAATTGAACCATCACTCTCTTGCTCATGCAGTAGAATCATGCATCTCCTCGTCACTGAGAGGAATGTTTGATGATACAGACACTTCATCTTCTGGAGTATGTTGTTGGCGGATTATTGAAGCACACCCATAAAACTCGTTTTCATGAAATACAACATCTCTTCTTCGTACAACTTTCTTCACTTCGGGATCCCACAACCGGTATCCGAATTCTTCATCTCCATAGCCGATGAAGATGCATGGGTTTGACTTGAGATCCAGCTTCTGTCTCAACTCCTTGGACACATGTGCAAATGCAACACTTTCAAGTGAGAGTAAGAAACATCTCTTCCAGACCATTTCTTCTCTGGCACTTCAAAGTTTAAAGGAACAGAAGGTGACCTGTTTATAAGATAACAAGCTGTCAGCACAGCTTCACCCCAGAATGGCTTAGGTAGTTTAGCCATACTCAGCATGCAACGAACTTTCTCCATAATGGTCTGATTCATTCTTTCAGCTACACCATTGTGTTGCGGAGTTCGTGGAACCGTCTTCTCATGTCTGATTCCATATGCGTCGCAATATGTTGAGAATTCCCGGGAAGTGTACTCTCCTCCAATGTCTGAACGTAGACATTTCAGCTTCTTCCCTGTTTTTCTTTCTACCATGGCATGAAATAGTTTGAAACGATCAAACACTTGATCCTTACTCTTTAAACAGTAAGCCCATACCTTTCGTGATGCATCATCAATGAATGTCACAAAACATCTGCTTCCTCCAAGTGACTCCTCTTCAATGGGTCCACATACATCATAGTGGACAATGCTGAGTCTCTGTATGGTTCTTCCTGGTAGAACTGAAGGAAACCCTGTGTTGTTTCCCAAATAGACAATTCTCACATGGATCTAGGGCAACACCTTTGCCCATGGAAATGTTTTCCTTCTTTGCAAGAGTTGTCAATCCCTTCACGCTCAAGTGGCCTAACCTCCGGTGCCACAAGTTTGGTGATATCTCTTCTTCAACAACATTGAGACTTGGATGACACAACTTTGCATGAGTTTTATAAAGAGTACCACAAATATGGTCTCTTGCAACAACCAAGGAACCTTTAGACAACTTCCATGTACCTTCTTTGAATCGGTTAAGATATCCTTGTTGATCCAGAGCTGTACCGGACCTAAGATTCAATCTAAGATCCGGAACGTGTCGAACATCTTTCAACACAAGTGCGCATCCGACATTGGTTGTTATGTGCACATCACCAATGCCAACAATCTTCGAGAAACTCGTGTTTCCCATCTTCACAACTCCAAAGTCTCCGAACTTATAAGATGTGAATAAGTTCTGGTGTGGAATGGCATGAAAAGATGCAGCTGTATCAATCACCCACTCAACATCATGAGTACCTACGTGTAAACATTCTTGTTCACCATGTGTAACAAGACACGCGTCTGATGACACCCTAACCATAGTCACACCATCTTCTTGGCTAGTATTTTGACTCGTCTGTGGCTGCTCTCATGGAAACTTTCTACAATCTCTTTTTCTATGCCCATAATTACTACAGTAATTACAATATCCTTCAAACCAAGTACTGTTTTCAAAGGACATACCTCTCTCTTGTGATCTGCCGCGAACTTGAGAATTTCCTCTGTTTTGACCTTGGCCTCGACCTCGACCTCGACTTCTTCCTCCATTTCTGCCTCCCCCTCGTCTGCTGGTTTATGACACGAAGGCATATGATTGTTCAGTCCCGGTTTCTTTTCTTCGGGCTTCTTCGTTCATAAGGGCATCTGTGACCATCTGCTTAGTCACCTTGCCATTGGGAGCAGAATTGCTGAGAGTGACAACAAGAGTCTCCCAGCTGTCAGGTAGAGAGTTCAAGAGTAGTATCGCCTGTTCTTCATCTTTGAGAACCAATCCAGTGGTGCTCAACTGATTCACAAGATCCTGGATGATGGAGTATATCGCCCGGGAACCCCCGGCACACAGACTCCTACTATTCCAGCACAGGCCTGGCAGGCCCAAGAAGCATAGGAGGCCCAAAGCACAGCGGCCCAGGCCCAAAGGAGCCCAAGGGGCGCCTGGGGGTAGCCTTCGGCAAGATGGCCGAAGGCTCCAAAATTCACAGGACAGCCAATTTTGAGCATACGAAGCTACTGGGAGAAAACGACAGAAATCAGGAGCCTTCGGCACTTTCGTGCCCTCGGCATAAGGGAAGCCTTCGGTTGTACAAGCGCCTTCGGATACACGGAGCCCTCGGCCGCGGGGAGAGCCTTCGGCTAACAGCTCAATCATCGAGTATTCCCTTTGGAGACAAGCAACCACCGCATTTAATGCGGCGTCACATCCACCCACCGCATTTAATGCGGTGCACATGCATATGCTAGTGCCACCCGATTGAGGTGACCCCTCGACCGTCAGATTGTTGACACGTGTACCCTCCTTATAAAGCACGCAAAGTTCATTTAATACAATCGACTCTCTCTCCTACTTGTTTGCTCTGACTTCTCTCTAGGTTATTCTCATAATAACCCCTCGGATAAGCTACCCCTCGGGTACACTGTCCATCACTGGAATTGACTGGTGTGTTCTGACACCGAAATACCTCCTCATAACTTGTGGTTTACTAATCTCCTCATTAGTAACGTCTTATTTCAGGCGGTTTTTGCTTGATACATGCTACCAAGCTTCTCCCATAGTGTATTAGTGTGTAAGCACTTTGTTCTTGAGCCACATGGTGGAACACACTATGATCTATCCATTGTCGAATTTGTGCAACAGTTTTTCGATTCATTTTTGTCCATTCTTCATCCGTATTTTTATCCGGTTTCGCGCCATTATTATCAAGAGGATCGGCTAAATCCCTCAAATTTAGCAAATCCTCCATCTGAGGCTTCCACATATTGTAATTTGTGTAAGTGAGCGCAATCATGGTGCCCGATGATGATTTATCCATAATAAAACGCTCAATATATCTTGTACCTTATTTTCGAAGCCGAATGGCCGAAAATGGTAGGAACCGGTCTGACTTCGTCCAAAACCGGTCTGACAATGGGTGAACCGGCCTCCATAACTCCATAACCGGTCCGGTTCAAGCAGCAGTCCAGTGGGCAGACCAGCAGGCGGATGACGTGGCAACAGCTGGAACTACGTTGGCGCTGACGTGGTGCCAGGAGGACGGATACGTAGATGACGTGGACGATGACTCAGCATGACGTGGCGATGACGTGGACTGACGTGGCACTGACGCAGGCCTGACGTGGCGCTGACTGGTCGTCTTCTTCCTCTGGACTGCGCGTGATGACGTTGGCAGTTCCAGGCGGACTTTGGGCGGCGCGTACAACCTCTTCCGGTGGCCAAAAAATTCCCTAAAAATACCAGATTTCTCCTCTCGACGAGAGGAATCTAACGGTATGATCAGATCGTGATTCTGATCAACTTGAAAAATCATGATTTTCTAACCTGTAGAAATTTATCCGAAAATGAGAAAACGGTACATGGAAACTCAACCTCGCTCTGATACCACTTGTTGGGATTGGAAAATTCTTCTATTCAATATCAAGAACAGAATTACAATAGGAGGAGCAAACTCTCACACTCAACTATTACAAAAAACCAATCCTCACCAATACACTTCTACTCTAAGTGTATTTCACTCTTCACACACTTTTCTCACATTCTAAAACTGATACTAATGAACAATATGAAGCATTCTATTTATAGGACTAGTTTGGAGACAAGAGGAAGTTGCATCCAAGCTTTCATTCACATGGCTAGGAAGCTATCTCCAAATAATTTTCAATCATATGTTAAGACCTCTTTCCAAGAAGATGTGAGATGCCTCTTGACAACTTCTAAGAAAAAGTTGGAAACTTATGATAATTTGTCTGGTCCTGTTGACAAAGAAAGAGAGACAAAGGGGTTGGGTGAAAGGGATAAATTAAACAAAAAGATGTAAAAGTGAATTTGCCATCGAATTGTAAGATTTCGTATATAAATCGCATCTGTTACTAGTGTATGGATACATATCCCTATGTTCAATTTCACCCATTATTTTCCTTTGGCAAGGTGGGGCATAAGGAAAATCCATTCATCTTCTTAAAAGGACTTCGGCGCTCCAGGCCAGTCAGCCACAACCTCGAAATAAAAGCATTGTCGAAGATGTCTCAAAGCCAACCAGGTGAGAAAATTTTCCTGGGGTCGCTCTTTCACGTGATGTATTAGGAATATACTATTGTGTTACTTCTGTGCACGGCTTGGCCTGCTAAAACCTTAGGAATGACATTGAAAGAAAAAGAGGATTATTGATTAGTGATATATACGATTTAAGTTTTCCATTTCTGCTGGTATGTTTTGGCAAGGTCGTTTGTAAACAATAGAATCAAGGTAAGTTAGGTAACCTTTAGGGTAATGAATGGGGGCATATGAGAGTAGTTGGAAGAGTGATGCTTACTTGAAAGTTGGAATGATACCTTTGCTTGTAAAGATGGCATATTGTTGCTCGCTTGGAAGTTGGAAATTGGGATTCTTAGTAATTATTCCGTAGTAGATTTTGGATGAGTTGGAAGTGGGGAACCTATGTATATCCAATACCTTTGGGGCTTTAGAGATAATATGTTTTTCTTAAGGAATGAGTGATTAGACAGAATGTACTAAAACCTTCTGTCATCTCCATATAGTCTTTGTCTGGAATTTGGAGGCCCTATTCAAAATGTAAAAACGGGCCCCACATTATTATAAAAAAATTAAAAAAAATTCAATCTAAATACTTTTACTCAAATTAATTGAATTGAATACGGATTACAAGAAAAGTGAAAGAGTAAAAATAACAACAAAAAAATGATGGATCTATATTTTTCTTCCTTACTAGATAACTATATTTTACTGATTAGTATTAATATATAATATTAATAAATTTTTAAAAATTTGGGGCCCCATAAATTTGGGGGTCAACCTATTGAACCCCTAAAAAACGGCCATTATCCGGCCATTAGAAGCATTTTGTGTTCTGCAACACCTTTCATTCTTGATTGATTATTTACAACTTAACATTTTCAATGAATTTTCATTCCCCCGTGACAGACTATTTGAGTATAACTCCTCAACTGATATGCAATCACATAGAACTCTCTCTTTCCTTGGAGGAGAGAGAGTTCTACGATATGATAAGTGGCAGGCAATTTCCTGGCGGCTTACAGCGGAATGCAGTTGACAGATTTGTGTGATGTTGTATAACATTCAGGTGATATGCTGGTAAAGAAAGTCAGCATACGAAACAGGCATGCTGAGAAGCTTGTGGGTTTGCTGCACGATACTGGATCTCCAGATATTGCAGTTTTGTGTCATGGCTTTCGATCATCCAAGGTCTCTATTCCTTCCATAGAGCTACCACTCACTTTATTTTTATCTTCTTTTTCCATCCATCCCTTGCATAGTAATCATCCATAGTGATTTATATACACACGCACACACATACATATACATATATATATATGAATATATGTTTGTTGTATGTATGTGTGTATGTACTTAATTGTGTAATTATATATATATATATATATATATATATATATATATATATATATATATATATATGACTAATGACTTGTGTTTTAAAAAAACTCACTTTTGTTTTGAATAGCAAAAATCTCTAGCAGGGAATTGGTTGATGAAATTCTTCATTCTTCAATGAATGAACATTTCATATCATTTGCTAGATTAGTTTGCTAACTATGCAACTTTCTCACGTTCGCTACACGCTTTTATGTGTAGAGCTTTATGAAAAATATTGCTGCTGCCTTGGAGAAGGAAGGAATTTCTGCATTTCGCTTTGACTTTTCTGGAAACGGGTAAGATCAAATGTGATTATATCTTCAATCCTTTTGTGGTGCACTTAAATGTTATTCCTTTTTCCTTTTCCCTTCATTCCTGCATTTTCCTAGACCTCTCTCTATATAATGTTAATAAAATTATTTGCATGGTTGATCTGGATGCGAACATTTTCCTCGTAGGGAAAGTGAAGGGGAATTTCATTATGGTCACTATCAGAAAGAGGCTGATGATTTGCATTCTGTGGTTGAACACTTTATTGGGGAGAAACGCAGGGTAGTTGCCATTCTTGGTCACAGTAAAGGTATGCAAATCAGTTTTCTTCTTCTGTTTTTACTATCCATTCAGATCATATATGCCCACTGTGGATAATATAATATATGACAGTGGTATCACGAATAACGAAGTTCCCCTTACATGTCCAAATATTGCTTACTTATGTTTGTGGTATCAACAATCAGTCGCCTTTTGATAATATATTTGACAAGTATATGTTAGGAACTGGGTTAAAATGAGTGAATGGAGCCGAATTTGCCCACATTGCGGCTGAGTTGGCTGAATGAACTCAATGACCTAACTATTTGAAAATAAACAAAACTAGTGAAAGTAATGTCTAAAAATGTTTGGGTCAATGTTGTGATATCAATACTTTAGTTTGAGCATTTTGGGAAAAAGAAAAAAAAGAGCAACTACTTTTGGTTTTTTAATACCAGCAAATAAATTAAGTTAGCTTTTGGTATAAAATTTAGCTAATAAGGTTGGCTGGATGGATGCAAGGGAAAAATCAAACTAGCAAAGGGGGCAGACACTTGTTAAGATGACTAGAAGAAAAGAACTTGTGAGCAATGCAATATATATTTGACATGTATCTTTTTTTTGCAAATATATTTGAAATGTATGTTATGACATCGATTGATCTGTACATGATTTCATTTCAACGCACAAGGAATTGGCCAATTCCGTGAGCATAAGTTGTTAGTTTGATTGCATTGAGAGTTGGGTGTGTATTTATTATTGATATATGTGTGCATGTACTTACGCACACATGTCTTTACATACACTGATTGAAGAAGAAAGGTATTGCAGGAGGCAGTGTTGTTATTCTGTATGCATCCAGGTATCATGATGTTGAGAAGGTGATCAATGTTTCTGGCCGCTATGACCTGAGGAAGGGCATTGCGGAGCGTTTGGGTGAAGATTACCTGGACAGAATCAAGAAAGAGGGGTTTCTAGATGTGAAAAACAAAGCGGGTAATTTAAAAAATAAAATAAAAAAGGCTGAGCTGAGGGATATAGTCTTATTTGATTGATTCACAATTGCATCCTAACAGAATTACTGTTTCATTCACAGGAGAAGTGCAATATCGTGTTACTGAGGAAAGCTTAATGGACCGACTTAACACTGACCTGCACAAAGCTTGTCTCCAGATTGACAAAGGCTGCAGGTGAGAACCAGATAGCTTTGGCTAAAGTATAGGGAGTTTTCCCCTTTTTTCATTTTCTCACCTGTGTTCAACATTCCACCTGTCTGGCAAGGGTATCTCTTTTTTTTGTTGCTGTAATTGTGACTGAAATGGGGCTGAAATTGCTTGTTTTACTCCTATTTTATGAAATTCCTCTTTTGAAAATGGGGATCCTTAAGAAGTTCTTTTGTTTCTATTTTTGTAGATACATATAACAAATTATTTTCTATGAACACAGCAATATGCTTTCATTATCTTCCCCCTGGAAAGATACAGAGCCTTACAAAATCAACACCCCTCCTATTAATCCCGAACCATTGGATTTAAATGTTGTAAACGTGTGCGTCCTGCAGGGTGTTTACTATACACGGGTCGAATGACGACATCATTCCTGTGGAAGATGCTTTTGAGTTGGATAAGGTCATTCAAAACCACAAATTGCACATAATAGAAGGAGCCAGCCATGATTTCATGGCACACCAAGATGATTTGATCTCTACTGCTGTCTCCTTTATAAAGGAATGAAGAAGTTCATCACCAGAACTAAAATTACGTTAAATAATAATAATTGTAACAACAACAACAACAACAACAATAAGGGTCTTTCATTTGTGGCTGGTAAAACTAATGGTCCTTCCATTTCCTTACTGGTATAGATGGTAAATTCTCACCCTTTTCGGAGGATAGTAAAATCAAGTTCCATGTCTTTTTCTTTTTGGGTTAGATGTCAAACCCGTTTCTTTAAGTTATTGGTGTAGAAGCAGAAGCAGCCAATCTGATGAGGTGGTTGCACATGATGCAATCATAGAAATAGGCTCCATATTTGTGAGATTGATGCATCTTGTGGCATGTTTCGTAGATTTTTCAGATGATAAATATAAACTCTGTCCAGAATTCAGAACATATGTGTTTAATATTACAATCATTACTTTCTGGCCCGGGCCATAGGAAGAAAGTATGAGTTAGTCCTGGACTCGGGCCGGGTGGCCCGGGACCGGTACTGTGCTGAACCGGCCCGGCCAGTGACCGGTCCGGGTAGGCCCGGCCCGGGGGCTCCCGGTGCGGGCTCGGGTCACCCAAAAGCCGAACTGGCCCGGCCAGTTCGGGCCCGGTTCCGGGCTTTTTATGTTTTATTTTTTCAATTTTTTTTAACTTTTTGGGTTGGGCTGGGTATTTTGGGCCATTTGGGGTGGTTTGGGGGGGTGGGGTGGGGGTTAATTAGGAAAAGGGAAAAAAATTGACCCGAGACCTGGCCTGGACCCGGACCGGACCCGGTGGCTACCCGGGCCCACCTATTTAGAACCGGCGGCCCGCCTGGGTCTAGGCCCGACCCAGACCTGACCCGAATCCACCCCTAGTATGAGTGCTTGCCTAATATTTTGGAAAGGATAACAAGAACAAAACTTAAATATCACCTCTGACTTCTTTACCCACTCTAATCATCAAGGAGAGTATGAACAAAAGTGTTTTCCTAAGCTAGTAATTTGGATTCTTGGCTTAAAAAGCGCTTTTTTAGAGATCTTAATGTAGATTCGAAGAAGTGCTTTTTTTAAGCTAGTTGTCCCATTTGAATTCCTTCTCCTTCAGAATCAACATTAAGATCTCTAAAAATTGTTAAATCTAAATTACAATTTAAATATGGGGGTGTTTGGATCTGATTCTTAAAACGCTTCCGCTCCTTCAGAGAGCAGAAGTTGGAGTGTTTGAGTGAAAGTGCAAAAGTGATTATGGTGTTCTAATTTACTCCAAGAATCAGTTTTTTTAGAAGTTGAGGGAGACCAGCTTCTGAAAACTGATTCTGCTTCTGCTTTAAAAAAGAAGCACAAGCAGAACCAGAATTAGTTCCAAACACCTCCTATGAATTGATATTCTAATTAAGTAATAAGATGAATCTCTTTAACCTAAAAAAATCCATTTTATATCTCAATTTGAGACGGAGAGAGTACTAAATATTAATTTTTGGAGGCCCCACATAAATGTGGGTCTCGATACTAAGTCCCTTCTAAAAGATGGTCTTGTACGAACCATTAAATTTCTTTTCCCTGCTCTTTAGTCTCATTCGACCAGTTGACTAAAATGTGGCATCAGGGACGGGCCACACCAAGGGCACCGAACCCAATGACACATGCCCTAAGGGTAATTATATTTACAACTCTCATTTTGCTATTAATCCCCACCAATTAATTATTGATTAATAAAAATACATCATTAAAAAATAATTTGCCTCTTCATATTAATACACTAAAATATACTCTCTGTCCAAAAAAGAAAAGTTTGTTTTTTGATAATTCTATTCACAATCACCTATTACAAATCATATTATTTAAAATATCTAATGTGCATATTAAGTAATAAAGTACAATATTTCAATACACTCAACACATACTATGTATTCAATATTTAATATATTTAATACTGGCGTATGTGATCTTTTTTAACTATGATTTTGGTATACTTTAATTTTCAATATTACATTAGTTGATTGAAGGAGGTATTAATTAATACTACATATATTAAGAGTGTGATAATACATGCATATGAATTGTATAAAACAATTAGGAAAAAATCGCCATATTTTATACATTAATTATGTGTTCTTTAGGTGGATAACAGAATTATACATATTAATACTAATATTAATATATATTAAATCATTGTAGATTTATAATGATATTTGAGTGCATTAATTAGGATTACTGACGCCCTAATTAATGAAGATCCAAATGTTTTTTGAAGGCCCAATTTGATCTTTTGTCATTTTTTCAATAGCAGCTTCTTTTGCATCTAGAGAATGATTATTGCTTAGTGTCCATGTTTTTTTGTTATGTTCATTTGGCATATGGAGGTTAATGCTTATTTCTTTGCGTTTATATTTTGTTTTTTTCATCTTCATTATATGAAATGCCCAGTTGAATATAATAAAACTTATTTTGTATCTAAAGGATGCTTATTTGGCTCATTTGGTTTTACAATGCACATTTTGCATGCGCAATGTAGATTCTCCACAGGAGATACCTGCTCAAAATCTTTCGTCAAAAGAGCTTGTTAATATTGCAACCTCACTCTTCACTGAAGGTAAAAGGGATGTATCTCTTCAACTGATGTGACTTGCTCTTGTCAAGGATACTAATTATGCGAGAGCTTTGATGCATGGACAATTGCAAAATGGTTTCTCATCAGAAGCCACTGAAATCTTGAAGAGTTGTATTTATGAGCTGCTCATAAATAGGCACCCCGCAGAAGAAGTTGAGGATGTCGATCATTTGATCCTATCATCTCAATGGGCATGTGTGACTTGTATACGGCAGGGGAAGTATGAAGAGGGCATTGCACACCTCGAGAAAGTAGCTCTAATGAAGGAGCCAGAGCATTCAAGGACAAAATCACATTACTACGACGCGTTAGTATTATTCTCAAGTGTTTTGTACATTGTGGGCCGGAAAGCTGAAGCTTTCAAGTATTTGCACATAGTTAGTGATTATGATCCTTCTTGTATAGATTTATTGAAGCAATATGAAACTGATGCAACTTCTCAAGAACCAAGTGAAAGTGAAAGATGTAGTTGGAGAAATAATTTTTTATGTGCGATGATGGTGATGAAAGAAGTTGGAGAAATAATCCAAAAAAATATTCTTAAATGAGGTCTTCAACAGTTTATAAAGTTTGTTGTTATTAAAGTTCTAAATTTTTATATATATAATTTCTCTCATTTGGGTAAACAATAATGATATAAATTTATGTACGCGTCTATATATACGTTTATGTATTAACATTTATGATAGTATAATATTTGCATATTACATTTGTACAATACACTTATACACGGGTGAAATACTAAACTATATTCCAAATAAATGGTAAACAATTTTACAGGATAGGCAAACTTTATTCAAATTAGGTAAATGGGTCAAATTTCATGAATGTACTCATCTCTTTGAGTGAAGAAACACAGGATTGAATCATTGATCACAGAGAAGTTCTATGAAGTCTAATGACTTTCATCCTATAGTGAAACTCACACATCTTTTGAAATAATTCAATACCTACAAATTGGAGCTCAGGCAACGCAAGGATGTAAATCCTAGTTCCAAATAATATGAGAACTTGAACATGCTAGACGCTATAGTTTTTTTAAACACTCCATTTTTTAGCAACACTTAGAAAATGCTACATGCTATGACTTTTTTTTCACCCTCCAATATTTTTACAACTCTCCTTATTGTACACACTAGATGCTACACGCAAGAAAATTCTACACGCAAGAAAATTCCCAATTTAAACACTCTTTGTTATCACTGAAAATGAGATCACTATAGGTATAATAATAACTTGTAGATTTAAATATTTGATAAAATATGAACATGTTTACATGTAAAATACTAGTAAAGATATTCTAATTTAGGACGAGTTCCACACCCAATAGTAAGTATTGGGCATCTTTCCCTCGTTACAAAAGTTTTACCAAAATTTCTTCAATCTCAGATATATTTTCAAACTTGTAAAAGTAATAGCGATTTACTGTTTTAAGCTTGTACCTTTCGATTGTGTCTGCTATTAGTCCTATAATTTTACTCGCATGTAGATGTAGTTATGTACCTAATAAATTTGTAAATAATAAGGGCTATTTCATCATAAAGTACGCGTTCCCGTAACAAAAGTATGTTATGGTGGAAAGATTCTTAATACAAATTTTTTTTATTAATAATCAAATTAAATCTACTAGTGAGTAAATTCATAAAACTAAATTCATACTTTTGATAAACGTAATTAGGAGTTAATAAACTTGCATTAAAGGATATAGAGAGGGTAAGTGCATATTTTCAATAGTGCTTTAACTTAAAATACGGCGTATGCTTAAACTTAAAATCAGTCCAAGCAGAATACAACCACTCAAATAACATACGAGGTAGATTCCTTTGTATTTTGACCTATATATGAGTTCTGTAAATCTATGCTTTACAGAACAAGACGTGCGTGAAATTGTGATCTTTATTTAGTTCTGTAGATTCTTGTTTCAGATCTGACTTGAAGTTTAAGAATTACTTTCCTGGATATTATTTATTTTGTTTGGAAATTATAAAGAGTTGCATATACATCAGATTGGTGGTAGTGGGTGAGAAGACCTGGGGCGATGAAGTGGGCTTTGGGGTCCAGGGCAAGGAGCCGCCATCGCTCGGTGGTGGCGGTTGGAGAGGAGCCGCCTGGTGGGAGTCAACTTAGCGGTGAAGGGTTGAGACAGAGCTGCTGGGCTAACCTGCCTGTAGAGCTTTGGAGAGAGGTGTTGATTAGGATGGAGGAGTCGGAAGCTAAGTGGCCGTCGAGGAAGAGCGTGGTGGCATGTGCTGGTGTGTGCCGCAGTTGGAGGGCGATCATAAAGGCGGCCGTCCAAACCCCTCAAGCTTCTGGCAAAATGACCTTCCCAATTTCAGTCAAGCAGGTCTGAATCTCCCCCATCCCCACACATATATTCTTTTTTATGTGTTTGTATTCATCATTTCTGTTAAATTTAGAGCCGTTTGGTAATTCTGGAATTGCCTGAATCCGATGGATGGACTGAAAAACAGTTAAATTGTCTGAATGTATTGAATTTTTAAAAATTATATATTTAAAATGTATTGGTTATCTGTTTCCGCATGAGACAGAAAAAAGCACAGTTGTTGAGCAGGATGCAATTTGAGCTTAAGTATTAGATAATTTATTCAAAACAATGTAGCAGACAAGAATAAACTACAACTCCTAATAGTCACAATTGGAATTTCATGTTAAATTCCAATCGTGAAATTAGAATTTGGAGTGGTTTGGTAATTCTGAACCGGTTGAATCTACTGAAATAATGACCGAAACAATTGAACTGTTTGAATCTATTGAATTACTCATTTAAAAAGTTATATTTAAAATATATTTTCTCGATAGAGTAAAGAAAAAGTTATGGAAAAAGTAAAATAGTACTTTTCAACAAATTTAGTTCACGCAATAGAAAATTAACTCCTGCTTACTTATTTTGAATAGTTCACAATTTAGCGCGAGAAAATCAAAAGAATAGTGTTTATAAAAAAGTTGATTTATAAGACTGATTAGTCCTCTAAAAAAAACTGATTAGTTGTAAAAAGGATTACCAAACGGGCTCTTAAGTGGCTTTCATATCATGTTTTGAATTTTCTTCTAGTCATGATATTTGTTAATGACTTCCATAAAATTACTTTCCATTAAGAGCTAAAGCTAGATTTTCATTTCCATTAATACATTTCCAACCAAGTTAAATTTGATAATCTGTGTTGCCCGGTAAGGGTATAGGTATAATTTCTCTTTTCCTCTAAAAACAGAGGTATGAGCAAGGCATTTGTATAGTTAAAAATATTAAAAGTTCCTAATTTGCATTAGGTTATTACCAAGATTCTACTTGATAAATAAAAACCACAATAAATTCAACATAAAACAAGTCCTAATTATTCCACTTTGCATAAAGAAAGCCCTAACATCATTTAATGAGACGAGGGTGAGTGCCTCATGGCTCATGAGAGAAGATTTTAGGGATATACGAAAAATTAGAAAAGAATAATAAGTTTTACCTTGGAAGAGTTCAGATTGGAGTTGTATATATAGTAGGTATAAATAAATAAAAGAAAAAAACTATCCAAAATTAAATTTAGGAAGTATTAGCTTGCTCATGCATGACGCTTTTGGAACATACTCCCTCCGTCCCTTATAACTTTGCCAACTTTCCTTTTTTGGATGTCCCATTAACTTTGCCACTTTCCCATTTAAGTAAAGAATTTGTGGTTCCAGTTAATTCTCTCTCCTCTGCACAAACCTCAACCACACAGTTTTTACTTTATTAATCCTCGTGCCGGTCAAACTTGGCAAAGTTATTAGGGACGGAGGGAGTATGTGGTATTTGGTTAATTCTTTGTGTTTCATTTTATTGGTGATTACCTGATTATGCTACATTTTATGCATTGACTGGTCACGAATAAGCGTTATGATGGGAACTGCCTAATTGTATCTGATTAACTACTTTATGAAGCACCCCTTGCAGCATGTATATTCTATAATATAGCTTGGGGAAAATGATAATGTGAGATTTGATGTGAAAGTATTTGGATATTTTTTTGCTGAGGACATTAAATCTTCCATCCTTTCCTCAAAATGGGGTTTTTGCTTTATTTGCAGCCTGGCCCAAGGGGCTCTCTCATGCAATGCTTTATAAAGCGGAACAAGTTTAAACAAACATATCATCTGTACCTTAGTTTGACTCAAGGTATGCTTTTGTTACCTAAACATCTTCTGCACTCAAAGGCTTGAAACAAGGGAATGTGAAGCTCCAATTATTATTACTCCCTCGGTCCCAAATTGTAAGATACATTTACTATTCACTTGGTCAACATAAATCACTCTTAATCTTTTACTTTATATATCAAAAGTTTATGAAATTTGAATTATTTTTTTCAGGTTTTGTAGCGGTTTTAATGTAGTTTCTAAATATGTAAATTTTATTTTCTAAAACTAATTTGAGTGTTGACAGGGATCAATTTGCTTTATCGTCGGTCAAACATCGTAAACCGTAAAGTATCATACAAATTGGGACGGAGGGAGTAATTGTTTAAAGGACTGTTTCATCCATTATTTTTCCGTATGTGGCAGCATTGGCTAATGATGATGGAAAGCTTCTGCTTGCTGCTCGAAAGTTTAGGAGGGCCACCTGCACTGACTACATTATATCGCTGCATGCAGATGATATCTCACAGGGCCTTGGAGGTTATATAGGGAAATTGAGGTGTGTGTGATAATACAATTAGGATCAAGTGATCAACTACTTTAAACATGTCTAAAATAAAAAAGAAAATCTTTTTTGAAGGTCAAATTTTGCGGGAACCAAGTTCATAGTGTATGATGGTTCTTCACATCCGCACCATGGAGACAAAGTGGGAGAAAGTAGATCCACTAGGGTTGTGGCCATGAAGCAAGTTGTGTCTGGGGTACCTGTAGAAAACCATGAAGTAGCACACATTTCGTATGAGTTGAATGTGCTTGGAGCCAGGTACAGTTTTATACTACATCTCATCATCACTTATCAGCACCTTAATATCAATTAGTTGAGGGTTGGAGTCATTAAGTTTAGACTTATGTTGCATGTACAACCATTTTTGTACAACATGCGCACAGACAGGATTTATTTGTTCAAACAGACAAAGTTTTGTCATTTCAGTGTGAAGATGATTCTTGTTTGTTCTTAGGCACAAATATGGCGAGACAGAATTTTGTAATATTATAAGAGATAGGAGCATTGTTGTTGTTGTTGGGTCTAAGGCTTGAGTGTTATGTATAAAAGATAGCAGCATTGTGTTGTCTGTATATTCTTTATACCTCTAAACCTGCATAAGATAGTATGTGAGATGCATCATGTATCTGTTTAAAAAAAGGGAATTTAATTTGAAATGATGCCAACTATTTGAATACATAACAAGAATGATAAGAAGCCACTTTCTGATTTCAAATCCATATCATTTAACCCATCAAAATCTAATACCAAACCACTATAGGTTTTCTATGAGCAAAATTGTGTTTGTAGTCGGAAAGTGGCTTGTATCACTTTTTGTTATGTATTCGATTAGTTTGTATTAGTGAAAGTGATTCAAATAGTATATCGATAATAGTTGGTACACAGTATTATATAAAAAATTTAAGCTATTATCCCTTAGCAAATCCATATATATATATATATATATATATATATATCCAATTCAATTCAACTAGGATTTCATTATTTATTGTTAGAATTTTGTTTCGCCCTTTATAGTAATCATGCTTGTTTCGCCCATTAAACTTGGGTTTAGAAAGAAAAAAATGGGTGAAAATCCCACAGGAATAAAAACCTATAGCCTAAAATCTTGATAATCCAACAGGGCAACAGGAATAAATACATATAAAACTAGGATTAGTATATTAGTGTAGTTTTTATAATTCAACATATTGAGTGAAAAATGGGGAAAGACTGATTGTCTCATATGCTTATATGTGCAGGGGTCCAAGAAGAATGCATTGTGTTATGGATAGCATTCCAGCATCTGCCATTAAACCTGGGGGTGTGGCCCCAACTCAGACGGATTTTCCAATTGAAAATGATAATCATTCCTTTTCAGCAACATCTTTTTCCAGACCAATGGCAACTGCTATGGAGAAATCTTTATCTGGACCCTTGGAGCTGGAGAGGCAAACAGATCAGCCACTAGTTTTGAGAAACAAGAACCCGAGATGGCACGAGCAACTGCAATGCTGGTGTTTGAACTTTCATGGGCGAGTAACAGTTGCTTCTGTTAAAAATTTCCAGTTGGTGGCAGCTTCCCCGGAGAACGGTGCCCCGCCACATGAGAAGGTCATTCTGCAGTTTGGGAAAGTAGCCAAGGATGTGTACACAATGGATTTCCGCTACCCATTGTCCGCATTCCTGGCGTTCGCCATCTGTCTCAGCAGCTTTGATACAAAGATTGCTTGTCAGTAACTTAGGACGCAAGGTTTGATAGCCAAGCATGCCCCTTTGAACAATAAATGTATATGCTTAATAGGAGAGGAGGGGAGTATGTCAAAATTTTGAACTTGGTGTTATTACTTGTAGCCAGCGAAACTTGAGGAGCTGTGGGGATCGCACATGACTTCTCTGTTTGACAATTAAATTAGTTTGACTATTAAATTAGTTGCATTTGACGTATCATTATCATCCATTTTGAGGAAGTACTTGTTCGGTTGTTTCACATCCTTTTCCCAATTGGTAGTGACCTGCCATAATAAGTGTTGGATCACAGAGTAAAGAAGAACGCAAGTGTAAACAGTGGTGGAGGCAGGATCTAGGATCAATGGTATCAATTGAGAAAATAATTATTACTACGTATATCAAAATGTGTGAATATTATAAAGCAAAATAACAAAAATTTCATTTATAAAATTGAAATGTTATTCAAAATTGTGCACAGCGCATTTTCATATTTTAAAAGTGTTATACTTTTTTTCTATCAAGTGTCGATCAATTGATTCAAACTTTAAAGAAAAAAGACTATAACACCTTGTCTAATATAGTAATATTCCTAATAAAGTATCGTCTGTCTCATTTTACATATCTTAACTTTTTTGGATTATCCCAAAATAGGTGTCAAGTTTCTTCTTTTAAAAAGAAATATGTGGTCTACAACATTTCACTTTATTATACTCAAACTTGATTAACATTATTAGTTTTTCAATCACTTTATTATAATTATGTCAAACCAAAACAAGACACATAAATTGGGATGGAGGTAGTAGTTATAAGTAAAACTGTACATTTTTCAATTATTTTTAAGTTAGTGTTCCAACTTTTAAAATATATACACTGACCCCCATTTTTTAAATAGTTGTGTCAATTTTTAATTTTTGAAAGATTATATATTCTCTGTATGTAGTTTTTTTAGAAAATTCTCTAAATAGGCCTAAAACATAAATAAAATTTATAAATAGGAATATCAATGTTTTATTCCCAAAATAGGACTCGTTCGCTCCTATTTTGGAAGTTTTAATCATGTTATTCTTTTGATAGAACTAAATAAGCCTTATTTGGAGAATAAAACACAATAATTCCCATTTGTTTTACTTTGTGTTGTTAGTCTTATATTAAACAATTTCTATTTTTTTCAGTGGTGTCAATTTTAATTTTTTGAAAAATTATATATACCTATATATGAAGAAAATAAAGTTGGGTGGTGTCAATTGACACCACAACTCATAGTGTGGCTCCGCCATTGAGTGTAAATCTTTACCACGGAGTATATTGTATACTAAAAAGTACTCCTAATAAATATACTTAATAGCCAAATACATTGTGGTCTGATGACATCACTATGGCACTCCCAAGGAGGAGGTCACAGGTTTGAATCTCATTCCAGTTCAAGGATGTTGGCAAATACTATATACTTCATAGGCTAGAAAGAATTGTTCAAAAATATATTATATACTTGATACGTAGTACAAGATTACTAAATATAATTGGTGTTACTTGACTAGAGTAGATATCAGAGAGGTAGACATTTATGTGTTATTCAGTTTATTTTAATTAGACATGATAAAAAAGTTTCAAATTAGATTTGAAAGATTCAGAAAAAATTCTTGACATTGCGATTATTAAATAATAATAATATCACTGATTAACTTATTATTGTGTCAAATAATTTGTTGTCTGATGGCATCACAGCTAATCTTCCAAAGAGGAGGTCGCAGGTTCGAGTCTCATCTCAATCAAGGATGTTGGCATTAACATAAGCAGATACTATAATAGGTTTAGAAGAATGTTCCAAAATAAAGTAATAGGATGTAATTATAGTTATAAAAAAGTTCGATTTATAATAGAGAGAATTCTCTAAATAAAAGTAAAAAACTTTTGAAATTCCAAAGTATGATTGTTTTAGGGAATACTAAAATATGTTGGCATTCCCTGTATAGAAGTAAATTCCATAATAGAGAGAAATCTCTAAATCATGTTTTTTACTCCCTGAATAGAAGTAAATTTCTGCCAAGTTTGGCATTACTAGGCTTTTAACATGACATTTCTTTTCAAACTTGGAAGACTTACTCCTATTTAGGGAATAAAAACATGAAAATCCTATTTTGACATTTCAAAATGTTTTTACTCCTATTTAGAGTAATTTATACTCATAATACTACGACGACCGGTATGTCATTACTTATGGTCATAATAAAAACAAAATGAAAATTATAATTATGATAATTCTTAAAATAAAAATGATATTCATAACGACAACTGCAATAATATTATTATTAGTAATAAAGATAATAACAAAAATACTTAAATTAATTTAAAAAAAATTGAATAAGTTAACAATTATTCAAATAAGACCTAAAGCAATAAGTTGATATATTTTTTTAGATCAGGTCAACAAATTCAGATGTGGCCAACTAAACACCGTCTAACAAACTAAGAACTAAAATACGGAGTATTACTTTTAGCTTAAGGAATTCGTACCAATTAAAATAGTTACCATGTTAACTAAGCAATGCATATTTCCTTTTTCATTTTAAATTAATATTGCGGATTTATCCATGTTACCTACTCCTTAAGCTACATGCTTTTATACCATTAAAAAAAGTAATTAAATATATTTAATGTTAACAGGATAAATATACCACTTTTGTAAGCCTTGCAATACTTAGTCACTAAGTCATCTTTTGCCTACACACTTCCATTATCCATGGATCATCTATACATTTTGTCCACAGTTCCATTTGTGGATCATCTATACATTAAATGGTGTTCTCTTGAAAAAGACTTGGGCTATTGATAATGATTTTTCAGTTTTTTTTGGGAAATAATTTGAAACACAAATTTATTTTGTGAAACTCCTAATAAGGTTCAAATGTTCAATTAGGATTATAAGTCAACTTAATTTTCCAAGCAGATCAGCAAAATGGCATCTTGCGCAAAGGAAGACTTTTTTTTGTATAACTCAAAAGGAAATAATCGGAAATTATAATTGAACTATAGATATTATAGAATGGATGCCTTTACCATTCGTTAGTGAATCATTATTTAGGAAATTGGAAAAGAAAAACAAGAAGAAAAATTGCCAAAATTAGAGAACTTCACTTCTTTAAGATTGATCTGAAGCCAAAATAATACAGGTCAACGGAGATGAAACATGGATCAAAAACATAGCAATGCTACATGAACTGCATAATTTAAACCATGAATTCGGGTATTAATTTCTCTCATTCTATGCACGCATAAAAAATAATGAATCATCATATCATATATCCGGGAATGATTTGACTTGAAGAAATCACTGCAGATTATAGAAGGATAAAGAAATGAGAGCAAAAGCCAGAACCGTCCCAAAACTTGAAGAAGGAGAAGATTCAGACGGATCATCAACAGACTGAGGGACGACGGGTATTTGCGTATCTTCGCCGGGATTCTTGGTGGGGCTGGAAGGGATCGTCGTCGGCATAGAAGATTCGGCGGAGGAAGGCAGAGGCAGAAGCGGCGCAATATCCGGCGAGATTCCGGTAGCGAATGGGGAGAAGGATGGAGCGATTGAAGGGGGTTCTGCTTTGGGCGCCGCCGTCTTGCTGCTTGGCTGATGATGCAGAGACAGTACAGGTGAGGATGAAAACATTACAGCCGCCGCCGCCGCCAGCACCACCATCATCAGTGGCGCAGAAAGAAAGTTAAAGCCATTCATTTTGCTGCTAATGATAATGAAATCAATAACCAACACTCGCTTCTTGCGGGCAGTTCTCTGAATTTATATACTCCTTGCCCTGCACTAGTAAAGAGGTTCTCCAACTTAAGGAAACAACTTTCAACTTTCTACAACCCAATTTATGCTTATTTGCTTACAGACAATTCGTTAAAATTGTAAAAAATTTTAAAGCAGTTACTCCCTCCGTCCCATTTATATTGTTCCGTTTTACCTTTTCAGGAAGTCTTACTTAAATTGTCTCGTACCATATTTGGCAAAGTTTGTGTGGCTCTAAATCATTCTTACTTTATTCTTATTTTATCAATTAATATGAACCACACAAACCCACTTTTCTTAATAACTGTGTCACTCTCTTCCGTCCCAATATAAATGGGACGGAGGTAGTATATGTGTACACATGTAAAACTTAGTATAAGGAGGGTGTCCTCAACTAGGACTTGGGTGGATTTCAAAAGATGGTGAATTTTGAAAACTTTGGGATTATAGGGTGTTTAAGAACACTCTTATTTTTATGTATTCCACATAAATTCAAATGAGGAACACCTCCTAGCAAATTTCATTTTGAGAACATTTACTACTTATGTATTAGATCAAAAATGAAATTTAGGGGGTGTCCATTGACTTCTTAGATATTTGGTATATTCTTACTTTATGTCAAATTAATAAAAGTGAAAAAAAAAGTGGTGACATTTTTTATTACTCCGTAATAATTTTCTTTGTTATAACAGTGAGAACTTCATATAGGTTATTAGAAATGTACATTATGGCGAGATAGAGACAAGAGGAAGTTGACGGAAGCCTCAATCCCTCAAGAAAAAATACACATATTCATAATATTTATAAATAGTAAAAAATATAGCCAAATTTTAACATTTGGCACGCTTAATATAAATTCTCTAAGCACGGACTCTACCACCGCGGAACGCCTTTTGGTTATTATAATAATATAATAATGTAAGTGAAAAGAAAAGAAATAGGGCATAAAAGTCTTGACAGCTGATCAATGTGGGTTCTTGTTGATCGAGTAGAGGTTTGTGCCACTCTGGCATGGCTGGTATGTGCATACAGTTGGCATGTTTTATAAGAAGCGAGAAAGCGAAGTGCATTTTTCTTCATACATTAATAAAACAGAGTAAATTAAATATGCTTTTCACATCTAACATGGATCAATGTCAACTTTAGGGCATGTCTGGGAAAACAGTATTTCAGTGGACGGCTAACGAGTAATCTTAGCTGATTTGGGACATGATCGATTTAAGTCATGTAACTTTATAAAACTTTAACTACCTGCAAAATATCAAATGTTTTGAAAAAAAAAAATAACTTTTCAGATTAATATTCAAAATTCCAATTATTTGAAGTAATTAATTTTTCATACTAACATTCAAAAGTTAGCTTTTTTTTTTATCAAATGTTTTGGAGAAGTTAGCATTTTGTAGCTTATACTACGTATGTTATTTTTTCACAAATTTCTTTTAAAGAGCGGCTTATAGTAAAATCGAGAATACATAAAAGACAACTTTTAGACAGATTTCACATATCAAATCGTGAACCTTAGGAGTAAACATAGAATCAGTTATCTCATACAAAGTAACCTGACTCGCTAAACCTGAAACGAGTAAATTTAATCCTAAAACGATCAGACATGAAACCATGTCTATATATTAAAAGAATTCCGAAATCCAAACATCCAAACTAAACCTACTCGGACTAAAATAAAAACAAGTAATACTAAAGAGAAAATAACATTGAAATAAAGGATTTCCGCAAAACTCTTCCTAGTACGGAGGTAATTACGAAGGAGGACGAGCTTTTTGCATTATGAGTGAATACTTACTTCACCAACGTCGTAGAAACCAATCAAGGCTACACGATCCAGCACTGATACAAACTCCCAACCATAACCGGTTCGTCCACCAACATTATCTCCTCCAACGTAACTGCAATCTCAAGTGTTAGAACACTCAAAATCAGTAAAATTTGCCGCTCTAGCCCCATATTGATAGGGGTGGCGGAAAACTCAACCCCTACAAAGAGAGAAGACGACCACTAAGTTGCTGAGTAGGACGAAAATGGCCGATTGAAACAAGATGAGGAGTGCTAAGTCGCTGCCGTCACCCCTTGTCTTCTACGGCGTTAGTGAGTCGGATGCTGAAGTCACTGCCGCACGCCCTTTTTCACAAGTTTTGTTCTCCCCTTATTTTGATAAAATGTGCAAATACACCCTTGGTATTTAAGTGAAAACGCAGATATACTGCTAAAGTTTTGGAGGTGTAGAAATACACTTGGATTGGAGCCTATTTGGTGACTATATTTTTCGGCTCATCAGCCTTATCAGTCAACTTTTCATCAACCACGTAACTTTTGGTTTTGCATGTTAAGTTGTGTAATAATTCAAACTAAATTTTGTTTAATATCAACATCATTTCCGCCATATATGATTCTCTCAGATTTGGATCCTCTGCCGCACGGTAGAGGTGCCTTGCGGCAATCCAACGGCAAGCAACAAAGAAGAAGATAGCTGCTGGAAGAGGGAGAGCGAATCGTGTGGCTGTAATAGCCACGCACCCTACCTGGCTGCCAAAGCCAGGCAGAGAATCCCGATCCGATTCTCTCTAGGTTGAAACATCATAGTGTGAATCAAAATGGGGGTGGTGAATAGAAAAGTGGAGGTAGGACTTGGGTGTTGGGACTATCAAATGGACATTAGTTTGAATTCATTTTAACTTATTCTTATGAATATTATTGCTAGTACGCATTATTTTTATGGACATTCTAAATACGAATTATTATTGTAGAACTCATAAAAGTAGAGATTATTCTTGTGAATTTCATCTTAAATTTACTTTTTACTTTATAAATAAGGTATGAGATAATAATATTAAGACATCAAAAATTGAAAAAATGTGACAATTATTGAAGACTTAGAAGTGGAGAGAGATTCGGTTAGGCATAAAAAAAAAGGTTACAAGTACTCCGTAGTTTTTATTCTCATTAGTCAATGTACTCCGTATATATAAACATCTCTTATACGAGTATATATTGAGTACATTATCGTGTTGGTTTACGAAGTAGTTGAGCCACTAACACATGGACGACATGTTAGTTGTAACTTTTCAGACCAGCCAACTTTATATGCCTAGTTACGTTGTACATGCATAATAATATTGACTTGCAAATAATGCATATCACATTGGATTTGTGCCTTTGTGCTTTGTTTGGATAAACATGAAGACGACCACGACCACACAACAACCACAATAATAATAGGGAAAAGGGGAAAATAAGCATTCGAACTAATAAAAAAAATGCAAATCACCACTTATTTAGGAGGTTCTGTCCGGCCGTCGCCATTTGGAGAGGTTCCCGATAGACTTTTATGATGAATTTTTTTGAGCATTTTCTTCATTAAGTCTAGTTTACACATACCAAATTTCAGCTAAAATTTCAATCGGAAAGGCAGTCAAATGAATTTTTGAAGATAACTGCGCAAATAAATAGCGCAATATATTTCAGAAAGTCATTTGACTGCCTTCCCGGTTTTATTTTTAACTGAAATTTGGAATGGGTAAACTAGACTTACTGAAAAAGATGCTCAAAAAAATTCATCAAAAAATTCTACTGGGAACGGCCCCAAATGGCGACGGCCAAATAGAACCTCCTTTATAAGAGGTGATTTGAACCTTTTTGGTTAGTTCGAGAGCTTATTTGCCCCCTTTCCCATAATAATAATAGGTGTTCGCTTCCTCTAATATGATTTCAACCGTGAAATTCATAGAGCGCTATGATTTTCTCCTTTTCAGGTTTCCACATAAAAACAGAGAGAATACAAATCTATATCTATATTTACTATTTTGTGTTGGATTGGCGCCGTCTGTAAGAAAAGAAGAAGAAGAAACCCACAATAAAGGGATCCCAAAATGGAGGGAAAGCCCCGTATGTATAGGAGAATGGGGTTAGGGCGCAAAACCACCCCAACAGGCCAAATGGGCTTAAATGAGCCCAAATAGCCGAAACAGGCCTGATAGGGCCCTCGTCATTCAGGCTTCGTACTGAGTGATGCCATGGGCTCCTGAACAATAGTAGACCGGGATAATATGCCTCAATAATATATATGCATCATCTATACGAAATAGTAACATAATATTATTCTAAAAGTAAATAATCTCATGTAAACTATTGTAATATTATGAAAACTCCTCGTGACTTATGAACACGCTTGATAGACAGAATGTGTAATTGAAAAATTAATTTTTTATTTCAATAAGATTAGTACAATCAAATAAGACATAAATTATTTAAAAAGTTTTGGTAAATGTTTGCGTTTTAAACAATTCATCTTCTTAAAAGACTACCATATTTAGATAGGATCTCTTAACATATTTAGTTGATTTGCAATTATTCATTGATTTGTACATCCCACAAAATCCTCTTTGATGGTCCCGGATAGAGGTAAAAGTCTAGAGGGGGGGGGTGAATAGACTTTTAAATCTTTTTCAACTTTATGAAGTTTTCCCTCTAGATGAGTTGATCTATAATCTTTTAAGAGATTAATAGATGCACAGCGGAAGTCTTTAACCTTTTTATACTTAGTGTGAGATAACTTTCTAGTTTAGATGATGTTTAGACTGGTGACAAGAGGAAGTAGGCTTGGCAGTAGACTGGTGAGCAGGTAACTGCTTAGTCTACTGCTGCACAGGCAGTTTGCTGACTGGCAGGCAACTGCTGAGTTGGCAGTCGGCTGGTGGGCAGGTTACTGCTGAGGCACCTGTTAAGAACAGGATGACTCTTGGATGGCTTTTTGTTCTGGCTTGTTATGGCGTTCGGAAAGACACATATGAAAGGGCAGTGGGCTCAGCAGGAGGGTGAAGACCAGGGTACTGCTGAGGCACCTTCTGAGTGTAAGATAACTTCTAGTGGAAAACACTCTCAAGGAGAGTGAGTTATTAAGCAGTAGGCTAAGCAGTACAGTCGATGAAGACTACTGCTTAGGATGCTGCTGGCAAACTACAATCCTTTAGTGAGATGTGTTTGGTGTGTGCTTCTGCATGTATGAAA